CATGTCGTAATTATTATTACAATTACTACTTTTGTAGTAAATAATTACTGCATTACGACAAATTGCATTTTGAATTACGGCACCAAACATTAGGCACGCACTGGGTTTTTTTAGAACCCGCGTGGGATTTTTAATATGGTCTCAGATAAAATTATCTGGCCGGCATTACCATATCATCTGGCTGGCATTAATCCAATATCTGGCCTGCATTAATTTATTTACCGTAAATTCTCGAAATAGTGGGCATGGGTGCTATTTCGAAATTTGGCCCAAATTATGCTTAATTCGGGCCGAAATTCGAAATAATGCCCATACGAAAATTTACGGCAGAACAAGAAATTTGATTTTCAATTTTTTCATGAATTTTTATCGGACACAAAAAATTAAGAAACCCGCGGATTTATGATCCTATCCCGCACGGGATACGCATCACGCGCGTGATCCGCGCGGGATTTTTGAAGAAACTGCGATTTGCCCATCTCTACTCACATTATTAATTTTATTTTAATATTTCTTTTATGCTTAAAGATGGTGTTTATTTTTAGTGAATATTATTACATCAAACTGAATGCTTTAATTATTCTATTAAATTAAATTAAATGAGCGATTCAAATACACATAGAGTTCTGTGAAACTGCTCTTTTGCGTTCTAAAGTTTCTTAAACTAATCTCCTAACCTTAATATAAGTCATATATTTTATATTTTAAATAAAATTATTACAGTAATACGTAATATAATATAATACTTTACTTGACTTCCAAAATTTAAGAAAAAAATTACAATAATTTCATTGTTTTTAGTTTTTAATAATAATTTTTAATAAATATGCCAAATAGAAAAAATAAACAAACTTAGTATAATGTGTTTATAATAAATGCACTTTTTTTCGCGTGATTTAAATCAAAAATTTTATATTAAGGGGTTTCTGAGCTAAAAAAAATATATCTTACCGTATCCTGCCGTGAATAAGGATGTAATTTTCATACCCAAGTTTCTCATGATCTTGTGATCGTATCTGTGTAATTTTGGTATCTTTCGAATCGTTTAGATAAGCTGATTCGAATAATACCAAAATTATACAGGTCCGATCGCTAGATCATGAGAAACTTGGATATGAAAATTGCGAAAGGTGGGTGCTTATTCACAGCAGGGTACGGTATTTCAGAAATACACAAGGTTATTGAAATTCTTATTGTGATTCAAAATCTTGAAATTGGAGACATAAATTTTGCGAAATCGGTTAACTTTGACAAAGTTCATTATTTCAAATTATTGAATGAAATAATTAATACATTGTTTATTTGAAAAAAAATACATCATCTATTTCTATCAAATCGGACTCCCACATTTTGATTCTGAAACCCTAATTAAAAAAAAAAATTGATATTTCCGTAATATATAATTTTAAATTATTTAAATTATGCAACTATGTCCAAACCAAAATCGATGTTTTTTTGCATTATATGTGTGTCAAAAAATGAGATGTGAAATTACATATTCTCATCTTGTTTTTTAGCAAGAGCCCTTATTTTCATAATTAAAGACATAACAAAGTAAGTAGCAGAAATAAGTGAAAATATAATTGCTGTCAAATGAATTACTATAGATTCTTGTTCATATGCGATTCCTATAAAAGTAAATAAAATCACCTAAAAGAAAGAACGTAATCATATTTTAGATACATACAGTATATATAAATAGTGTGTATGACTAACAACTGATTACAAGTTATTCTCGTTATAGTGAACCCCGATTTAAGTATAGTGAGGAGCAGTTTCCTTTTACCCGATCACTTCACTATAATGAGAATGACTTGAATCTAAAAATTACTTAATATATACAGTACGGTGTAACATAAGATGCCTAAGATTTATAATATTAACCAACAAATTATTTTTACATCAGGAAATTTAAAGCCGGGTTATAATCAGTTGCAAGCAGTTAATCGATTATTATCGGTGGGGATGATAATAACTGATTTAAATCAAAATCGATAATAGTCGATTATGATTAAAAGCGATTAAATTATATCGATTTTAATTGATTAGCTTTATTATAATCAATAAAATCTTTATCGTGTGTACTCGGTGGGGTGATAATAATCGATTACAATCAGTTTCAAAATTTCCTGATGCTTTTCGTAGGCAAAAAAAAAAAAGAAAGAAAGAAAGTAGATGGAAAAGGAAATTTTGATTGAAAAAAAATGAATATCTTATACTGATCCATACTATATATATATTATTATTATTATTATAATAGAAACTTACCGAATATCCAGCGAAACCGGCAAAATCATTATTAGCTGAAATATACATAATCGCCAATAATTCAAAACATATCAAAACAACTATTACAGCAGCTATTTCAACCAAATTTGGAGTTTCATCCAATTTTATAGGTAAAAATATAGTAAAGGTTGTAATAGCCAACAACACTACAGACCATGAGTGATACAAAGAGAATGGCAAATGAATAAGTACTACGTCAAGTATAACGTCTATTCGGTCGTCTTCAAGTTCATAAGGTAGATACGTAAACTCAAGCTCGCGGTAAATATAGGATAATTGAAGGACCATCAAAATAATTGCAACCAAAGATAAAGTAATCAGATCTTCTTCCTATTAATAATAACGATAAATGATCGAAAAAAAGAAAAAAAACCAACAGATTAAATAATATAAAATAAATTAATTACCCAAAAATTAAGCCATAAGCAGTTTAGCGCAACAATACCAACAAAATTCCAATGAATAGTGGTAACATGTTCTTTAGCTTTAGGAAAAAATTGATAAATAACTAGATTCAACACGAATAATAAAGTTATTTATATATGGTGTATTAAAAGTTAATAAAATAATGGAGTAATTCAATTTCATCCAGATAATTACCAAAACCGCCTAACAAGATTTGAATAGGTATCCATATATAGAAGGTAAAAATAGCAGGAGAAATGTATGTAAGATGTGCTTGAAGATAAGGGCTGTCCTCCTAAACCAAGGAACAAAAAAATGAAGTGTAAGATTCACAAAAGTATAAAAATTAAGCTTTGCACGTACCCCAGCTTGAATGTATGTATATATATTATCACCTAAAAGAAAAAAATATGCTAGAATATTTGAAACATTGATAAGAAGAAGTGGAGCCATTTTAGTAATGAAATGAAATATTCCGAATCATAAAATAAATAGTGAAAAACGAACTTACCCTATATAATAATATTTGGTCATTGATTGTTTGCTGTTTCAATTTTAATGGCTTATAAAAGTTAAACAAAAATATTGAACCAAGCATATTGACATATATTGTTTTGAAGTGGCTTATAACGATACGAACATCCATCTACCTTTCTAATTGACCTGCATAATTGTGATTGGCGATGAAAAACAACATACAAAAAATGTTTAATCAATTTTATGTCCTATTTGAATCGCAATTACATATAACCCTACACAAAATTTTCCACACTTTTAATAATAGGTTGGTATTCCAAAGTAATTTCCTGCTACAGAAAAGTAAGTCATTTGAGTGTTCACTGTAATTTATTATGACATATCGATATGAATTACCTTCAATAAATACGTTTCACTAATTGGATAATCTATTAAGTGTATGCACAATAAAAACAAACATGCTAATGAATCACTGATTATATAAATATTCTATTAAGAAACTCTTAATGATCTTGATCGATTTTATTATTATCCAGAATTTAAGTACAAAAGTTATGTTCAAAACGAGAACAAAGAATAAATTTGGATGACAATTCTGTGATTATAGTTAAGTTACTATAAAATTTTTTTTTTTTTTTTTTTGTCTTTACGTAATTGCAGACAATTGGTGTAATGCAAAATATAATATGATGGTCACTTTTTAACCGAAGAAGGCACGAAGACTATTAATTAGAATCAGAAAGTAAACATTAAAACAAGCAAGTGGATTGGAAATTTTTTGAAGAAACTTCTCAAAAGTATATAATCGATTTCCGCTTTCCGAAGTGTTGTCATGCGAAATTCTCAAAACACAGCGAAGCCACAGAGTATTGTAACGCAGATCGACATGTTGCTTCATTACGTAATTGGCGATGCAAAAATTTTATTAGAGCTGCTATGTGTACTACGAGTCAACAAAGATTCTAATGCGTTGCCCCAATGTAGGTTCTTCTATGTCGCCTTTTTAATAAGCTCATTTTCTGGCTTCCTCTTTCCTTTCTCTTTAGTAATTCTTCACACCTACCTCTTATAGTGCTTCATCATCCAAGTCTTCCTGACTATTCAGTACTAAATATTCTATCTTTTTGCTTCTGTTTTCTTGTTCTACTTGATCTCTTTCGTTAATAATGATTTTATATTCCTTTTAATTTCCTTATTTCCAAGGCATCTATTTTCTAGCATCTTTCCCTTTTGTTTGATTTCCACTTTAACTTTGTTGTTAAACCCCAAGATAATAATTACCTGAGGACGTCGAATGACGACAATTTTATTTCACTTTGACTTTGTTAATTAATTCTTCATTTGTACGCTTTTTAGGTTCAATCTTGTTGGCATCAGAAGAACTGTTCAGAATTGTTGAAATAATTATCTTTGCAGCTGTCTTCACAATATATTTTCTCCACGTTTCATGTTGATTACTAATTCTCTCATTGTCTGGGTATTTCCTAATGTAGTATGGCAGAATCTTGTAAATTAATTTCGGCGTCAACTACAGAAGAGGGTAGGAGAAATGTAGTATTGAGTTTGTCCGACCTAAATAACGCGTACTTTAATTCATGACATGATACAGTATTATAAGTAAGCAGTATCCTGTAAAAAAGTGCGAAAGTTTGAAATGAGATAAGCGAAAGTGAGACTGAGTTATAGAAAAACTTGTCACCAACAGTACGATATAAATAAAAAACAGAATTAGGTATTAAAAAAGCCGAATGAAGTGAGACTGGGAGTCATATAAAAAAATTTGTTAACGATGTTATGATGCAAAAACTTGGTTTGAAAAGGGACCAAACGAAGCAAAATCAAGCATCAAGAAATATATATAAAACTAATCAATTTTACCAATATACTTATTCAAATTAGTCTTATGTTTTAGGTTCTATTACAATAGCAAAAATCATATTACTACGATATTGTAACTAAGCAGAAAATTAAAATTCTTCATAAATTGTATGCTAAAAACTTAATGGTCGCAGCTGATTATGGTAAATTTTTTATTCCCTTGATTTTTTTTTACATCGTTATGAATTAACTAATTTATACATCATTGGACTGTAACCATGGAATTGCGCTATTATTATTACTTTTTATTGAACAGAATTTTTCAATTATGCATTTTAACTTATTGTTTTTTAAACTATTCTATAAGTGCAGCTAGAAACTAAAGCCATGCAAGTGCCAAATATTATTATTAAAACTTAATGAAACTTAAAATTTTTGATCGTCACCAAAGATAATTAACAATGTTAATAAAAGTTGATAACCAATTATACGAATTAAAAGAAAAAAGTTAACAGTAGTCAGACGGATTAAAACAAAGAATCTAATTGGTATACTTATAAAGTTTATATAAAACCGAATAACGTGTATGAAGCAAAAAAAAAAAAAGAAGAAGCCCTTTTATTACACTTAGAAAAAGCTTGGTTAAAGTATTACTGCATGTAAAGAGTCTCTCATTATAATGCTGTAATAATATTCCTCTAGTTTATTCATTAAAATTTTACAATAAATATTGAATATATAAATTTTATACATCAAAAACAGGACCAACATACTTATCATTTTCAAAGTATTTAGAATTCATAAATGAAACCCACCTATTTTCTTCACTTCTTTTGTAAACAACTTGAAAAACTTCATATTCTATGATAGTAAAATTTTTTGCAAATATAATATCATTGAAACTTGAAGATTCGGATGAGCATGTTCCATGTGTTTTAAAATTATTTGTTATACATATATCCTTTCTGCCAAAGCAGGGACCCAAATTTGGATCATCTCTAATTGCTGGTTTCTTTTTTTTAGCAAAACTGAACTTAACATTTTGAGGATTTTTTAAAGTCCCAAATGAAAATATAAAACAATCTTCAGTATATAAATATTTAGTAATAAAGTTAGTTTCATTCTGATATCCCCAGCATATAGGATTGTATCCACCAATTATTTCACCTGAATTTTTGACTTTTATAATTACAATTGTTGCTCCTTTATTGTCACAAAGTTGATGAAATTCTTTAGATGTAAAACCATCACGAGTGCCTCGCAAAAGTAATTTAAGTTCACAATGAATTTTGGCTAATGTTAATCGTTTAATTTTTGGAATTTGATGAATGATCATAATTGCTTGTAATGGTGTAATGATGTTGGATTCAAAATAATGTAACTTTGGTTGTCTTGGTTCTAAAATTTTATTAAGTCGTAATTTTAAATTATTCTGAAAATTCACTATTTCTTTTCTTAACTTTAAATCGATAATGTCTCTAAAAGGCCAAACATATGTATAAAGTTGATTAACAGAGAATTCCGTAAATCTAATTAATGGAATACAATGTTGTAATATGCTTTTTAAATGAATCAATTCATTTTTAGAAAAATTAAAAAATGATTGATTTTTTGTTATTGAAAATTGTTCAATTCCCCATAAAATCAAATTATGCCAAATTTCGAATTCTTCCATTTGAATATTATCTTGATTTAAAAATTTTATCCAAAATCCTTCATCGAATTTTAAAAAATAATTTGAACTAAAGGTTAATCTTGGATTTTCGCAAATCTTTACTATGCAATAATTTCGAAGTTTTTCAAATGATTTATATTTAAAGCTAATAAAAGTTGTGAAATTCAAATTATATAATATCCATTCATATCTCTGCTCAATGAGATGACGTTGACCTTCATCTAAAATTCTATCAATTAATAGTTCATCGGCCGCCACTAAAAAGTTCAATATATCCTTTTCAGTATGCTTTTTCCAATGTACTATTCCACTATATATATAACTAAATTAAATAAAGTCAAAATTTAGTAAAATATATTGAATAATAACATTAGATACTGTATATATTTAAAAGAATTTATTCATACTCTAGCACAATGTGAAACACTTGTGGTGTAATGTTAGGTTTTTTAAAGATAATTTCATCGTTCTCAAATATGGCCCAAGATGATGATAAAGCACATTCAAAATAAGGCGTACTATTAGAGAGAATTTCTGTATGCGCCCTAAACTTTTCAGTATTAGGGCTCTCTCCTACTTCAATTATTAGATCTGTGGTTTGGTGTTTAGAAAGATGGTGAAAGTAACTTTCCGAATTGAAGCTGTGATATGGATTAACCGATTGAGTTTCTAGAAATTCCGAATCTGATGATATTTCGTGCCATAAAGAGGAATAGAAACCATAATGCCTACGTGCTAACGTATAAAATTCTGTAGGAGCTATAAAGGAATGATTCTGAATTGAGTAACTCTTTGAGTTTTTTTTATAAAGTCTCCAGGGTCTCCAAATTCTCATAGGATTTATAGAAATGTAGATTATATTTTATGGTGATGTTAGTTGTATGATATTTGTCGAAACTAAACTCCGTTAATAGTACGTACATACAGTATTTATATTCCTGTAATTAGAGATGAGCATCATGCACCTTATTGCATGATGCTCAGAGTACAAATATTATTGAGATTTCCGTTTGTGAGAAATTTTCCGTTTTTTATAATAATCTACTCCGGTTGTAACACGAAATTCGAAATTCGAAATTGCTATGACGGTGGTTCTAAGCCATCAAATAGGACACGGATCTAACTAATCACACATTCGTACCTAACAATTTCCCTAGCGCATCCACAAAAAATTCCATAATTTCAACTAATTAAAAAATTAAATCAATTTCAAGATCAGGAATAGCATAAAACTCGAATTTACAAAATGGCACGAAACTTTAATTAAATATCTGCGGCTCAATTAAATATTCCTCTTAGAAATTTTTACTCATAGATGCTAAATCATTCTAATTATAAGAAGTTAATTTTACATGAAACTTTTTAGAAAGACAGGTAAGTTTCTACTATCATATTACACCTGATCCTGAATTTTTTTGGTAAAAATTACAGAAGGAATAATTTTTGTTGTAGATGCGATACCTGTGATGTGTAAAATCTTAAAGAGTTCTCCATGACGAATCATTGTTGGTTGAGCTGGCATACTTGAAAAATGGAAACTGTTTGTTGGGATAAAGGTCACAAATAACCAACCAACAACTAATGTTACAAAAAACAAAAATATTCTTTTAACCCCTAATAGTGGAAGGTGTCGATAGACTTGGTTTAATTATAGTTATCGGATTTAGAGCTTTCAATAACGTCACGTTTATAGCATTAACATTCAATTATTATTAATTCAAAAATTCAAAAACTTATCGTGGGAATTATTTAAACTGAGGCTCATAATTTATAATTCACATTTGTTGATGGCCTGATTCCTTTATTTAAAGCGAAGTGGTCCCGCTATATATTTATTCTACATAGTGGATGATACCAGAAATAATTCGAATATCGAATACTGTATAATATAGATATCGGAAAGGCAAATATTTCAACTATTTCTAATATATCTTCTCTTTTTGTTATTGAGAATTTGATGTACGTGTTTAAAGATATCAAAAATGTAAAATTCTCCATCAACAATATACGTACATATGACCGAATTTATTATCAGTCGTGTAATTATATGAACACGATTAGCTGGAAATAGATTCAATCAAAAGATCTCAAGTTCACAATCGTCGCAATTAATGAACTGCTGAATTACGTAAAAACAAAAAAATATCTCGAAAGCTGTAACCCCAGTGTTGGTAAATGTTGTTGTTTATTAAATTACCTTGGTCATTATGCACATAACGGTCACTATGGTCACATTATGAATGATTAAGTGACGTTACAAAGACAACAATTTTTTACTTGCAAAACGTTACCTTCTAAAGTATATATATAAGAGTCATATTGTTGTAATTATAACCCTAGTTGTTAAATATAGTAAATAAAAAAATATATTCTAATGTTATGCTTTTACAATTTATCTTCTTAGTTGTTCCTTTTGTTTTACGCTTTCATCGGTTAATTTTTCTTTTATTCATTAACAGTGACAAAAAATCATGCCTTCATAAAATTTCTTTTTAATTGTTTAACCTATATATTAAAAACCATTGAGATTATAATGTGATGTAGAGATGGGCAAGGTAATAATATAGGTAAAAATTACTTGTTTTTTTTTTACCCAGTACTTACACTCACGTATTATTCCAATTATTGTTTATGGAGAATGATTATTACATATTACGATTTTCAAATGTAATCTGGAAAGTAATTTAAACTCGTCCCCGACATTTTCAATTAATCTACCAAGATAAGTTTAGGCATTCGTATCTTGTATTTTTCGCTTTTTTTTTTGTTTTACCACCGATTCGCGTAAACAAAAAATTCGCAATTTTGATTGGTCGTATGTAACGGAAAATCTCATAATGTGACTGGTTTTAAGCGACCCCATTAATGGCAAGCGTAATTTGTGGAAAATGCGCGGAAGAATTGATGGAAATATTCATGTGAATTAATGATTCGTCCTTACCAAGGTACTATGACAAGACGAATGAAATTGCTTATGCCTTATGAATAGATTATTCGAAAAAGGATAATTTTTTTAATAAAGTGAAAGTGTTTGTGGTTATTAGTAGTTTTGTATTCCCGGTTTCAGATAATCCGTAGGGTATAAGAAAGGGAGTTTATTCAAAATGTTTCATAATTCTCTTTAATGTTGCATTATCAGAATGTAAAAGGAAAGTTGTTTCGCCTGTTGCGTGACGGTTGCAAAAAATCTTCAAATGTATTTAAATATTTTTTAATAAAGTTTTCCTTCAGATTTCGGTCTACTTAACCTACTTAACAAAAATAAACAATGGATTTCTCTTTTCGATTTAGTTGGATTGATGATCTTCATAAATTTTTTAGGTCCCGTGAGTTGCGCCGGTGCAGGGACGATGATTTTCTGCGGTGAAAAATTACCAATTCCGTCCGTGACAAAACTAAATTCTGCAAAAATTCCGTGCATTAAAAATTGTCTTTTCTGCGCATTTTCCGTGATAAATATTTAAAGATTCTGCGCTAATTATATAGAAAATATGTATATTCTGCAATTAAATTTTTTTATTGTAATAAAATAATAAATATTTATTCACTAATTCTACTATTAAAATACAACATATTTATAAATTTTGTCGATTGCTATCTAGATTTGTATTGTATTCAGAAAAGCTTCGCTCTATACTACATGAAGGAATAGGTAACCAGATATAATCAAGAGCGATTTGAGATAAAAGTAGTAACTGATTACTAAATTTTAACCAATATTCATTAAGTCAATCATCTTGTAAATTGCAAACTCAGGAATAATTTCATAGTGTCGTAGATTTTTTGGCTAACTTCTGTAAATTTTTTTGGTCTCACATTATACGTTCTTGAGGTTTGATTGGTTAAAGGTCACGGGACTGAGAAAGTTGCATTCTGCAAGAATTCCGCGGTATCTGCAACCTTTTCCGTGTTCACGACCCGATTCCGTGATTTCTGCGGCATTCTGTGAAATGCAGAAATTCATCATTTACCCTAGGTGCCGCGGCAGATCCTCGATTTTGATTGGCTAACAGCCGAGATCTTCGAAAATTTGGTCCGCTGTTATGATTTTTTTTGTATTGTTTCGTTTTTCCTTATTTAGTCTTATATTTTGTTATCCATATTTTCGTTTATATTTTTCCTTTTTTATGCTTGTATGTATTAATTTCCTATTCCGGGAAATGATGAACATGGCTTTAGTTAGGGGGAGATATTAACCCTCAATGAGGGATAAAAACCCTCAGCGAGGGGTAATAACCCTCAGAGAGGGATAAAATCAACTGGTAAGGGGTTGACGCCACAAATAAATTTAGTATAAAGGTAAAGTTTACTATAGCAGATTAAATATAGATAATTTGAACTATAGTTACAAAGAACCAGGTTAGCTGATACTTGTAAAGTGGGCATAACAAATAGCCAGACTATATATAAAATAGATATAAAATAAATATTAGTATTGAGCTAATAAAGTATCAGCATGATTGCTAAATTAATAAAAAAAAAATGATAAAAAAAATTAAAAAATTAAAAAAGAATAAAGTAGCCTTATTATTTATAAATAGTAATTTTTAGCAATTTAATTAGAATTAAAGTATATAAAATAACTTTGTGTAATAAAAATAAGAAAATTTTTAAATAATTAATAGCACAAAATTTTATTTATAAAACTATAATTAATGTTTTACCATATAGACCTAAAATAACACACAGAGGTATTATTTTGAATCTTGGCCCAAATTAAGTCTAATTTCAGCCAAAAATTGAAATTACACTCCTGCACATTATTTCGGGTCTATATGGTAATAAAAAATTTTATAAAATTTTATTATATAATATATTTTTTTCAAATTTTAGTAATTATTTTAAGAAATAATTTATTCACTACTGGGTGAATTATTCATCTTCCTCATCATTTTTTTCAAATAAGATTGAATCTAAAACATTAGCAAGTTAGAGTTAAATACATTATATTGTTATATTACTATATTTTGGTGTTGGTATAGTTATACAAATTACTATTTATAGCCTAATTTAAATACAATGATTCAAATTTGTACTATTAGATTAATTAGTAGACTTTTTACCATTTTGTAATTGGAGTTATATTAGCATAATATTTTGATATAGTATCTTATTATAGTACCTTAGCATAGTACCTTAGTATAGTATCTTAGCATAGTACCTTAACATAGTACCTTAGCATAGTACCTTACTATAGTACTTTAGCATAGTACCTTATTATAGTACCTTATCATAGTATCTTAGCATAGTATCTTAGCATAGTACCTTAGCATAGTACCTTGGTATAGTACCTTATCATAGTATCTTGCTATAGTATAGTACCTTAGTATAGTATCTTAGTATAGTACCTTAGTATAGTACCTTAATATAGTACCTTATCATAGTACCTTACTATAGTACCTTGATATATAGTACCTTGATATGTTTCTAAAATAACAATAACATGTTTTTAACATGTCAAAAAGCTATATAAACACTGCCTTTTTCCCCAAGACAGGTTAGGTTCTTCTATCTAAGCTTTTATTAAAAGTTCTCTTTTATCTTAAAGCCCTTTCTTTAGCTTAGATTTTTACCTCCAAGTCCTGTTCTTTATCTAATAAACTAATACTCATTTTTGGCTATATATCTACTATGTTGTGTATATCTTTTACTCTTCACTTCTTATATTGTAAAAACTCTTTCATTGTGTTTTTATTATATTTTTGTTTAGTTTTAGTCTTGTTTTTGTTCTTCACCTATTACATTGTAAAGGCTTCCTTTATTGTGTTTGTTTTATATCGTTTGTTTTGTTTTTGTTTTATTTTTCTTAGCCTTTACCCATTATATTGTAAAGGTTCTTCTTTATTGTGTTTTATTATATTTTTGGTTTGTTTTTATTCTTCACCTACTATATTATGAAGGCTCTCTTTATTATGTTTTATTATACTTTTGTTTAGTTTTTATTCTTCATCTATTACGTTGTGAAGGCTTTCTTTATTGTGTTTAGTTATATTGTTTTATTTGATTTTATTATCATTCTTGAGTATTCTCTTTTAGATTTTTGTGTTTATTCCGTATTTTGGTTTAGTTTTTGTATCAGTTTATTTTGTCCTCCTACACATTCCTTGCCCTCTGCACGTTAAGTTAAGTGATATAGTTAACTGATCTAGGTTTCCTATGTTACAATATATAAAATCATATAAGGAATTTTTTTTATTAGAACCCAAAGAGTGGTTTCATAAACAAAATAGTGAAATATTAGTGATTTTTTAAAAAATTGTCTTTGTTTTGTTATACAAAGATGCTTTATATATTACACATATTACACCTGCTTTTGCATATTTATTGAATAATTTTAGAGGTATGAGTAATATCAAATCTCATCCTGGGTGAGGAATAAATATATTCTTATTTTAAAATAAAAAATAGAATGCTAGTATTTATACTTTTAATTGTAAAAATTATGTAATAATATGCATACAGTTTATAAATTATTAAAATAATACTTTTTGGTTAAAACTAAAAAACTAAATTTCATCAATT